AACATCTAGTTAATTATATGAACTTGAATGAATGTATTGTATATATTATATATATACGGACTAATTTATACATGAATTAACTGATATAGATGATATAGATGAACTATGTATAATATTGAACTGATAGACTATATAAAAATGAGTCATTGTAATTCAATGTCATTGATATGTGGCTACTGGTCAGAACCGGGAGACCTTGGTTGACCACCCATGTGATGAATAGAATAGATGACTACTACAAGTAGGGAGGTTTAGGGCTCCGGGTTTTGAGCCACAGCCATATGTGACTGTAAACGATCATCCCGAGACAAAGACCCGGACATGTTGGAAACCACTCACCAGCACTAAGCTAAATGAACACCAGACTTCGACCACCAGGAGTGTTCTTGCTTTGGTTTCAGCATGTTTCAGCTGTTGGCAGCAGATGGTCGAGTCAGAATGTTGTTTGATCTTCCATGGATGCAACCCTAGCCAGGAGCTCCACCAACAAGTCAGGTCGTTCGCCGGAACCGGAAGCGACGAAAACACGTGGCTCCTGACTTGTTGGGCCTGTGCAGCCGAACTCCGAACATCCCCAGCAATGCACTGAACTGATGAAGAACACAATTATCCCTATGGATCCACAGACCGAACCTCAGAAGGTGAGCACGGAGACTATTTATGTAGGCGCCAGCCAGGAGGGTCCTACATAACCTTCTGAGAAGGTGGCAGTGGATCCATAGGGTATGATGATGACGACCATGACGATCGACCATGTCCATACATGTCCATAGTCTAGGGTAGTCCAGGGCGCTGGTTGGTGAGCACTTCTCAATGAGATCTCTTGAGCAGTGCTTAAGGTTAGCGACGTCGCTGATCTTCCCCCCAGTGAAGTGATCCCAAACGGTCCCAAACATACCTCGCGCCCCGAAAAAAAGAAAACCAGAACGGCGGCTCCAGTCTGAACGCTCCCCGAATCGGTTCGCTGTGTTGGGGTCAAACGGCTCGACTATATACAGTATAACCTTCTGAGAAATAGAAGGTACGATCCTTGCGGGGTCAACTTTGGTGTGTGCGATATCAAGACCGATCCATATAGAGTCCATATCGAAAGACATAGACATGAATGGTCGGTCTGTCTTTAGATGACCTGACTTCAAGAACTTCCTGACACCTGGACTTCAACATCGTAGCTTTTGGACTTCAATCGGGAAGACGTAGAACATGACCAAACTCAGATCTTCACATACCCAGACGCTCCATGGGACTGCCATATATGCCTATACATTGACCCCTCAAACCACCCCTGGCCTGATCGGCATATATGGCAGTCCCATGGGTCGCGTCTGGGATACTACGACTTGAGGACCCAAAAAACCGATGGGTTCTCCGCTGGCAGGACCCAGGCTGGTCCGCTCCTGAGAGCGCGAGAGAACACTCACATCCCCATGGTAGCGCTCGTCACCTGCTCCGCGAAACACCGGATTTCGAGAACCTCACAAAGAAACCTAATAGAAACTCAGTGGCCTCTCATACAACCTTCCAAACATGAACCCTGCTATCGACAGCTACATCAGCTATACTGCGTCTCTTGAGGCTAGAACCACTCGAATCGAGTGCATTGGCAGACCCCCCATCCCGTGCCACGGACCGAACGCCCGACCGCCGGTTTCGAAGGGGGGGAGAACCCACCCCGGTCGTGCCTGATCAGTCTGCACCCATCACGGCTTTCTGGCTCAGAATCCTGGCTTTCGTCGTCTGGGACTGATGGAGGACCACAGGGACCCGCAGGGGACGGACCAGATGGGGGAGAACAAGGCCAGGAGCCCCTAGTAGCGTCCTTGCTCCTAGGGTGGGTCACAGCCAGGAGTCGTTGTCGGGTAGAGTTTCAGCCGCATCCATGGGCGTCAATGCACTGCGGCATGTGGAGCTGTCTGTATAGACATACATACATGCATACTACATACAGACCAGACCAGACCAGACCAGACCAAAGAGCAGACCAGACCAGACCAGACCATACCATACCATACATACATACATACATGGGACCCACGGGAGATGGGGGAAGCGTGTTTCGGCGTTGGTGGCGGCGTGCTTCGGGAGGCGGAAGACCCTGGTGCTGGGACGACCGAGCCGCGAACGTGTCGGTCAGTCGTATGGAAAGCACGACTGACTAAGCACCGACCAAGTGATACATTGACGATCCATCCCAAGTCTGAAGGGATGTGAGAGGTGGAGATAGCACAAGTGGCTGGAGCGATTCAGCGTGTGGAGCAAACAGAATTCATGATCCTTTTCGAGTGGGGCTAAACACACAGCCTTTGTCTGTCACCCAAATCCCACATCCTTTCGAAGATGTTCCCGTCCGTCCGATGGTGGCATGACCGTCCGCGTGAGAACTGAAATTGACCGACCAAAATGAGTTTTTGAACTACCCAGACACTAGTCCCACTAAGCCCTAGTCACTAGTACCGACTTGGAGAATCACTGGGAGCCCTAGTCACTATAGTCCCACTAAGTCACTACCCAGACACAGAACTGGAGCTGCAGTTGGGATCATTCGGCACAGGGGAGAGTCGACATGTCGATGCGGCACAGTGTTATTTCTATGCTGAGGGTTCCTTTTTTTTTGTGCTGGAGGCTGCAGGGTTCTTATATATCCCTATGGATCCACTGCCACCTTCTCAGAAGGTAATTGGACCCGACAATGGCGCCTACATAAATAGTCTCCAATCACCTTCTCAGAAGGTATGTGGATCCCTAGGGTATTATCTCCAAGCAATCATATCCCTCAGCTTCGGTGGAGACGGAACCCCCAAACACCCACGCACGCACCCAGCCCAGTCCCACCGAACCGAAACGGAGGGGGGCGGCCAGGAGCCCTAGATCATCTAATTCCCAGACGCTCCAAACAGCCCTTGGTCCCTCAAAACCTAGGGATTTGAGACCCCAGACCCCTCCATATGAGGGTCCGACCTGAGCGTCTGGGTTATAACATGATTCAAGATCCCGACCTCTTGGTTTTGGCCCATGCCACTGATTGTAGTTACTGGTTCTGACAGCAAGTGGTGCGATGTCGAAACATGCCTATTCATTGAAGAAGTCGTGCACGCACTCAATACTTCCATGATCTTCCATGATTTGGTGCAAGCTCTTCTTGATATCTCGTGATCAAGAATGACCTCAATATTGGTACCCATGCTCCACAGAGAGTTGGATGAACCTCTCACTGCATGGTCACAAGTCTTGCCCCCCACCTCCGGTCGAAGGTGAACGAGGCTGTCCTAAACGGTCAGGATGAACATTAACGGATCTTTGCACCAAACTCCAAACACGACTTCCATGGCACTGGAACCTCCACATTGACCCCCTGACCTATGCCACCGAGAATGGCCCTTTCTCAGTCAATCTGCCAGTTCCGGAGTGTCGCAGCCTGCGAACACCGACGCGCCTTCCTACGCGCGCGCGCACGTGCGCGCGCGCACGCGCGTACGCGCACGTCGCAGGTCTCACCTGCTGCTCTCCTGCCGGGCATTATAGGCCTGCGATGATCGTTTCACGGTCGAAGGAGGACTTACGGGTCCCCACGTCGTGAAGCTTAGCTTTCACAGACCGGGTATGATCACCGGCTTTCACGACAGGATCCGGTTTGACGAGCGGTTTTCGCATAGAACCAACCTGAGAAGCTACTCCTTTGAGTAAACATTGAGGTGCTTTGCAAACCTGCAAAACGTTGGTCAAACACACCCGGCCTTTGCTGGGTTCCTCTTAAATCTGGACGTCCCCGAAACAGGCGGGACGACGTTCGAGCCGGCGGGCGAGGCTTTGTCTGTGCCTCTGCCGAAGGATCGGGTCAATAAGAAGAGAGCATGATTAAAGCATATGATTAAAGCAAGGTGGCCTTGCATGTTGTTGCTGTTTAGGAGGCCTTTTTTAGGGCTGATCTTAGCTTTTCTAGACACACGTCCTCAACGTAGTTGAATCTATGTTCCAAGACTGCTGCCACATGGAGATCGCTTTTGAGGGAGCCGTTCTTCTATCTCGTTTCTAAGGTTTTTGAACAACAAATTGTGGCCTTCACGACCGCTCTTTGCGAGCGCTTGCTCATAGCGAGAAGAGAACTTTTTTCGGTGCTTGGCTGAATCTGGCTCGCTCCAGGGCTCGCTGTCATGGCACCCTTAGGGCGGTTTTTCTTTTCTGTTTGTTTTTCTTCTGTGCCTGGTTTGTGCTTGGGACCCTGCTTGGTTCTTTTTCTTCCCCACATGTAACATGTTGACGATGACATGACTCGACCTGTCCCTGGTTTTCCAAAGTCGTGAAGCTCCATCCCGTCCGGAAGGGTGTTCGGAAGGGTTTTTGGGTGAGGTGAGGCTCTGGGCTTCGCCGACGAAAACAGCCGACCTTCCAGGACCCCGGTTCCGACGACCAGTGTGTTCGGCTGAGCCCGGCTAGTCGGACACGAAGCTGGAAGCAGGTCGGAGCTGCGGAGCGTTCTGAAAAGAACGAAGAAACGCCAGGTCTCAACTTGGAACTTGTTTTTCTTTGATCTTCGGACTTACCTGATTAATGATTATGGTGTATATATATATATATCAGTGTTAATACAAGCCACACACATATGATACATCATGATACACATAACACAATTTGGCTGGTTCTTCTATGTTCCTAGCATCACGCTTGCATCACGCTTCCAGGAAACGGGCCTTCTCCCTCTCCTCTCTCCTGAGGTGTTTGTACTCCTCCATGTCTTGCCATCCAAGAGGCCTTGGGAGACCGATCTCCATCTGATCGTAGGGTGGCAGTGGGTTGAGGTGGGGAAGACTGCGAACACAAAGCCTTTCACCCCAAAATCAATGCAGGCAAATTCCACGTACATCGTGTGTCCATCCTCCGAATTTTAAGATTTAACACGACACAAAAAGGAGACATGTAGAAATGGACACTGAGAAATGTATTGGTGGTTTCCAAGCCCGCGTCCTTCTTCCCCGCAGTGCAGCAGCCGAAACACACCTTTTTTCTTCTACGAGTGCATGCTCGGCGCGTTTTTCGCGTCGCCCTCTGCGAGGCTTCTGAAGGTCACACTCCAGCGGCGGTCCTTGTACAAAACACAAGCAAAATTCACATGGTGTGTTTGTATAATGTTGTGTATAAATTGTGTTATTGAAGAGTTGTGCTTGTCTTGCTTGGTTGTTCTTTCGGGTTGCTCAAATATCGAACCTGGAATGATTCCTATATGTCTCTATCCCAAACACGACCTGTCTGGGACAGGCATCTTGACTGAGCAGTTGTAGTTGGAGTGGTTGATTTCAGGGGTCAATAAACCATGCATATATTCATCATATATTCCATATTCCATACATGGAGCGTGTGGGGTTGGCTATGAAGGATTGATCAGAGTGTCCTCAAACAAGTCCCGTTGATTCCATCAGCGGCGACCTTTAAAGTATCTCCAGGTTCCTGTTCTTCGGCTTGGGGGGTCCTAGCATGTTTTCGGTCGCCCACCGACGAAAACAACCACTTCCTAACCTTCAGCTGGCTTTGGATGGGATCATTTTTCAGAGAGTAATGCTCCAGCCACCCCACCATTCACCCTTGAATACCTCATCTCAAACATGAGGAGTCCTCCAACATGGTTGGGGGGTCCTCCAACATGTTTGGGAAGAGCTAGGAGCACCTGTTGAAAAGGATAGATCACATACCTAGAGAATCTAAAGGCGTTGATTCTTGCTCCGGCTGCAAAAAGGTGCCTTTTTGCATCCAAACACAATATAGTTTACAATATAGTTATATGCTTACATTCAGGTCATACAGGGGGTATATAAATATAAGATATGTAACTAATTGAATTGTAACTTATATATAATATACCCAGGGTATCCAGTTACCACCATAGCTGGTAACCAGAGGTTCCAAGCCTAAAACGTCCTAAAACCATAGACCGAACGAATCCCTGGTTCCCTTTTAGACATGGTTTGCCTTGGATGCACTGTGATATAATTCCAGTCCCATGGATGGTCTGTGGGAGAAACCCTCTTCCGTCCGGCCGTATACTCTTGCCCATGTGGATCCAGTGGATCCGGTCGGCCGGTCCAGGTTCCTCACGCTCGGCCGGACCGGGACCGCGAAGCTCGAGGTGATTCGGGGTGTAACCACCCAACTCCAGTGGGTCCGGCAGTTGGGTCAACCCGCGGCTTTGAACTCTTGGGTCAACCCCGTCCTGCCCAGTCGGCACGCAATGCTCCCACTGGTAGCGCGCTGGGCCGCTGAAGCTGTAGGACCTCGGGAGCCGTGACCCAGTGGGTTTCGCAGAAAGCGGGAAGCCAGTCCGGCCCCAAAGCTCAATCCAAAAGAAGGGCTCCTATCCCGTATCCAAACAGAAGGTAGGGACAACTCCCCCGGCAAGCACCCACCCTAACCACAGTCGAAAAAGGAGATAGGGCCTTCAATATCTTCAATATGGAGGTAGTTGGAGCCCAAACTGGAATGTCAACCTACCATCTATGGTGGGACCTAGGTATACATACTCCTTCAAAGACTCTTCTTGGCCGCAAGGCCGAAAGATATATAAAACTATTTGGGTGGGAGTAGACTCATGGGACAAACTCCAGCATATAGGTGTAAACCCACTTCTCCAATGCATGCTATCGGCAGTGTGCATTTCCAAAGGAAAGCCTTCATAAATACGGTACATCCGGTTCTATCAAGGCTTACCATGCTGAAACTTGGGTTGAACTCGGGTTCGAATTGAACATCTACATCGAGAGACCAGAAGGTTCTTTCTGAAAAAATACCTGCCCTGCGTATGCCAAAGACAGTGTTGCAAATTGTAATGAGTGTAAATAGGCCTCCACACAAATCCACACAGCAACGTTGTGCTTGCAACATATTCCACTCCGTGTCTGGAACAGTTACTTACTATCAACATCTATCAACCTTCTTAAGCCACCCCAACTGATCGGTATGGGCCATGTGGTGGCCTTGGTCACCTAAGAAGAGGTGCCATGCATCGTCAGTTTAGGGCAAGGCCGTCACCTGTAGGCACGGCGAGAAGAATCAAATCTGAAAGGACCTCAGCGTGGATATCACACATGTCACACATGTCACATGATTGCATGTCGCGGTCCAAAAGTTCAAAATGACAAGTAGTACCCCAGTGGGTGCTGTTTTCTGCCTTGGTGACGAAACAGCAGTCGCCACACCGGCCAGCAAGAATCCTCTGCCAAGTGTAGAATTCCACATATGTGAGTGGCAAGTGCAATTGTGGCTGTTCATCCAAACTTAGGAAATGCCCACCTGATCCAAAACTTTGAGACGAAAACAGCCACGCTTGCCCAGGTGGGTATAGGTGGAATAACGTATACCGATGAACACTTTTCTTCTGATCAGTGGCTGTTCACCTGATACGAAGGATACGTACGATACTTAGGCCCTGACCACCCCGTGAAGTCGAGGGCGTTATACCGCGGCCCACTTCCAAGACGTCCCACCTTCTTTGGGTCGCTTCATTCCGTTCAAAATGCCCATTGAGATTAATGCCGTACACCATCCAGCGTTGTACAACGTTGGTTTGGATTCGCCATCCACCACCTCACCCAGCTGTCACCCAGCTGCCACCCAGCTGCCACAAGTGCCGCATCTCCACCGTCTTCGTCCCGCCGTCGCCGTCGAGCGGGCGGAGCAGTAAGGGCCGCGGGTCGCCGAAGACGAAGACCCGCACCGTGGGGCCTGGGTGTGCTGAAAGTGTGGACCGGGTGCTTCTGTGCGGCGGAAGAGTCATCCCTACCAGTCAGGAACTGACCTCGTTTTACAGGGGATGGTCACACAAAACCAAGACTTAAGCAGGTAGTCTATAGATCAGGAGACTGGACCTGGGTCTAGATCAGGTACGCACGTCGGGCATTTTAAAGGTCGGTTGACACCCAGACGCGACCCGGTCGGGCCCAACTCCTCGGGTTAGGGGTCTGGGGTGCATTCCCGATCGGTTTGGTTCGGGACCAGTCGGCAGTGCAGGTCGGTGAGCAGGCAGACTCTTTATGTAGGTGCCAGGAGGGTCCAATTACCTTCTGAGAAGGTGGCAGTGGATCCATAGGGTCAATAGATTCTATATTCAACCCGGGAGTAAGATCGTGATATTACATGAGTGAATGTGTGACATTTTGAAGATATATAGATTCTACTGGAAACGGTCCAAGAGTGGAAAGACCTGAGAATGACAAACTCGCAGGCCCCCCGAAGACCTCGTCAACCCTTTTCCAAAACTTGACCCAATGTGTACGAATGTACCTGGACCTTCCATAAGGATCCAAGGGGTGTCCAATTAACATAATTTTTGTTTAGGGGCAACAAGCTGAATTAATCCCATCCAGCTTGAACTTGCAACAGTTGATCTTCCCTCACCGATCCCAAAAAAAAGAAAAGACACCTTTCTCACCGAGCTGCCAAAGGCCAGGTCATCCAAATGCCAAGGAATGGCGTCCTGCGCACCGTACCTGAATCGGAGACCCGACCGTCGGACGGGGCCGGTGGGTCCGCCCCTGGTCCAAGCCATTCAAGTCCTGGGTCTTGTAAGGCCCTATGGATCCACCGACCGAACCAGGTCGCGTAGTACGGTGAGCAGTGGGAGAGCAGTCTGATGTAGGCGCCAGCCAGTCGGGTCCAATGACCGAACCACGGTGGCAGTGGATCCATAGGGAGGGATATACCTGGAGCCTCCAAGGGGTGTCCTGGCTGGACTACCCCACAATACCTAGGATGGCTTCCAGACAGGGCACCCCTTAGAGCCTTAGAGGGTCCTGGTATATCTGCTGGTTGCCTGGCTTCAGGGCCGAGTCCAGACTTGAATCCAAGTCGTCCTCCGTCTGTCGTCTCGCTGCGGCAGCGTCTCCGGACCAAGATGCTCGTTGATGATGCACTGGGTGAACTCAGCACCCACCTTGCCCAAACGAAGGAGATCTCCGGAGTGTTTGGGAAACCATGGAACAACCCATTGGAAACATGTGCAGATGAAAGAGTGTCACCTGTATGGTGCCCCAGGTGTGAACCTTGGGCCCTTGGGCCCTGGACCCTCCATTTGTCACGTCTACTGCCTAGCTGGTACCCGTGTCTTTTTCGTCCGTCTTCACTCGCAGCATGGAGGTCGCCATCGCGTCCGGTCATTCTGTGCCCGTGCACTCCGTAGCGGATCTGAAGACAAACAGCTCAACTCCATCGAGAAGGAACTCAAACAGCTACAGTAGCTCGTGAGTGACCTTCAGATTCTAAGATTGTTAGGCTGATGAATATTGCAGAGTTCGAAGTTGAACACCCCGAGCACTCTTCTGCACCAAACATGAACACAAGCAAAAGCGCAAACACCTTTGCAGCCAACCGCATGTGACAATTGACTCCTGCCCCGTGGCCTACACATACCTTATACAAAAAATGCTTCCCTGTCCCTCGCCTCTGGGAAAATCTCTCGCAACACCGGCGGAATGGGCAGCACCGGCGTCAAATCCACCGACTGCGAGTTCCGCCCGGAGGGGGTGGCGGTTCCGGCGGTTTTAGGTGGTGGTTCACTGGAATTGACCTGGCACTCCAACGGCGCTGGAAGAATGACCTGCCAGTGCCCACCAGGATTTTTGGGGTGGGTGGAGAAGAGCCGCTTTGAAGCTTCCAAAGAAGACACCAAGCATTGGAAAAAGACCAGCTTGAAAGCCATGGCCGGGTACCAAAAAAAGGTCTATCCCAAACGCTCATGGGCCCTCATATGAGGGGTCGGACCCTCATATGGAGGGGTCTGGGGTCTCAAATCCCTAGGTTCTGAGGGACCAAGGGCTGTTTGGAGCGTCTGGGATAATGGTTTATGTAGGTACATGAGACGATCCCTCTTTGCAGCGGTGTTCTACCTGCAGTTTTATGACTTTTTGCTTTTGGGGGAGAGCACCCAGAAATCAAAACTGCAGGGTCTGTAAATACCTGGTAAGTTTGGATACAGAATGATGACCACTTGACTAGCAAGGGTGTTCCCCTCCATATGGCTCTTCCAAATTCCTTGCATCCAATATCATCCAATTGTATACTGATACTGTATACATGTGCATCCTCAATCCCTCACACAAGCCTGCCATTCCGAACCAACTTGGCCACCAACTACTTGACAGTCACACTAATACATACCAGTACTGGTCAACCATTCAGGTCGAAGACCTCCCAGGCTAGCAACACCTGGGCCGTGGTTCGCGCTTCTCCTTCTGCCCCACCACTCCGGGCCGTGCGACACAAGGCCGGCACGTGCTCCTCGCCTGGGTGGTGTAGTCATAGCGTACGCCCCATTGAGCCACACGGCGCCCTTCGATGGCCTTTTCCCAGGGGATTTCCTGGCATTCCTGGAAGACGCAAACGGACGATGGCGGAGGGCATTTTGGGCAGGCCTGCGCCATAGGCCGATTGGCGTCCGGCGTTTTCAGATCACGACTGGGGAGAAGTAGCTAAGTAGATCGTCTGGTCGAATTAGGTGGTGAGATCAAGGTCTTGGCATTGTATACTAACTTATTCCATAAATAACGCTTCTGAATGCGAGCTTTGGTTCCATTTCTGAATGATGGATTTGTTCGTCGGCGCACATTTCGGGATGACCATTCAACTCAATGCATATACTTACCCTCATCCGTGCCACCCACAAAGAATAAATTCCAACTCCTCTCGCGCTTCTCGCCACGCGAAATCCAACTACAGCTCAGCTCGGATGTCCTTGTCCAAGAAGCCAAAAGCATCTTAAAACTATCTTAAACTCCTAAACCTCCTCCATGCGTTCACTGGGGGCAGAACATCCCAATCTCAAAAACACTGGAGAACCTGAGAACCTCGTCACAGCACGGGAGAATCCCAGTGGTCGGTCCGCGCGGACGCTCCTCCATCCAGCGCTTCAAGGCGCTCCACTCCTTTGGGCTCTTGGCCACGGAAGCTCTCCTCACGCAGGAGCCGCGGAGCCCAACCCACGGCGGACGCGCGTCAAGGCTGCGCAAACCACGGCGGATTTGGCAGGCTGAGCTGTTACGGCGTGATTCGTCTACGGCGCCGGTGTGGGGCCAGGAACATCCAGGGCCAGAAACCAAACAAACAACCGAAACAACAAAAGAATAGTCTCAAAGAAAGCTCAAGTTCAAGCATTGCGATCGATCAACCTCTTTAAACAACCTCGATCTATTTGATCACCATGTTGGGGGTCAACCTCCAGGTGACGCTGCCCCCGCCAACCATTGGAGCGCAACGAACGCAGCGCAATGCACCAACCATGAATCCACGTCGCGATGATCTAGAGAGACCTCTATCGACGTCAAGTCTGTCTTAGGAAGATCGATTTAACGTGTTGTATATAATTCCGTTGGAACATCTCCAACGCAGCCATTCAAAAAAAAGACATAAAGAAGAAGCTTTGAAGTTGTTTTTCTTGCTTTGAGTTTTGTTTGTTCTGTCCTTTTCGGTTAACACTGCCATTCAAAAAGAAAATCGATCTTTCTCCATAGGGTGCCATCCGATTGGTGGAGGCCGACCATGTTCCAAAACAAGGCCGACCAGGCCGACCATCGTCGCTCGGCTGCGATTCATCGCTCTTGCCAAGTCTCTGAAAACCCTCTGGCCAGGCCAGGGGCCTCAGACTGGGCAGTAGGGTTTGTCAGGGTGATCACCGCCATAGGTAGTGTTCTTCAGGTGAAGAAAAGGGATCCCTGATTTACATATCGCATGTGAAACAGATACTGAAACTATCTGAACACTAGAGCCTGATTCTAGGTGTTCAACATAGTTGGTACTGTACTCTTCCGTTCCGGCCAGCTTGATGCTTCTCCCCCAAGAACGTATCGAGAGGGGACACTTTGGTGAAGGCAACATGGATTTGCCTCAACATGAAGGATCCCGGCATCTCAAACACTCTTCCCTCAGTTGGTTTTGAAGAATATACTCTTAACAATCGATGGTATATTACTATATAATACAGTAGCCATCAGGAGCCCAGGAGCCCACGGTAGCTTGTTCTTGGTCGGACGGATTTTTGCAAGCACATGTTGAAAGCTACAAGCTGGTGAGCTGGGCTGGGACAAAAGCTACAAACAACATCTTTCCGTCTTTCCATTCACAAGTCTTGAGATTTCTCAAGTCAACAGCCACCTTGGTCACTGGAGCAGTGGAGCTAGTTACCGAGAATTGACTTAGAATCTTGCCACAAGCAAGTCACATCTTGAGGCATATGAGATTATATGATGACACATCAGAAACCTACACGATAAAGATGCCTCACTCCAAAGCACCTTGAAGGTGTGCTTCAAGCGCTGAATGAGTGAAGTAGCCAGGAGCAGTCAGGCACTCAGGCACCTCTAAGTGTCCGACGCTGGCAACGGGCTGTAGGAGTTTCTCCCACCCGAGAGATCTTGGCCACTTAAAAGGAAGAGAGGCCTCGCGAGTGGTTCAGAGCTGCCAACAAGGACAACGTGAGACTGAAGCGGACTGACTGACTTGGCCGACTGACTTGGCCGACTTGTCCAGTGGAGTTGAACAAACGTCGCTCATCCCTCACTCACTGGCTCCCCTTGAGTAGCTTTGCTGATCACCAGGAAACACATCATACATGCTTAGTTCCTCCATGGTTCAATGGATTGGTTTAAGGCAACATCTACAGGAAACCATGGTTTTCACTCCAACAATTATGGGTGTCCTGTAAGTGTTCCTTTAAACCAATTCGGGGAATGGTGAAGCCGTAGCCTGGAGTCGGCCTTCACCAAAAGTGGCCAAATTGGAGAAGTGTCAAGTGGATAGAATGCGCCCTGCACAAAAACCGATCAATTCTTCAAGAGGGCCAAAGGCATGGGTCAGCATCAAAGTACCTCTGGAATGTCTGGATATGGCCAAGTTTGGGCCTTGAGTATCATCTTCTTTGGGTACAACAATATATATATATATAATATGGGTGTGTATTTTAAATAGAAAGTGAGACACCGAACCCATGGGTAGACTGGTTGGTCTATGTCCCCCTTCTGCCTATTTTAATACACGCCCATATGTTTGAAGACTCAAGAGTCTTAAGAACCCCCTAGCAAAAATGAGTCTTAGAACAAAAACGTACTGACATGTACTGACCAAATGCGACCGAATGCTCCGGTGTGCAATTTGAATGTAAACATCTCTCCCGAGATTTGTGGTTTTGGAGACACTTTTGTATTCAAATTGGACCAACATATAGGGTCTTAGACAGCCACTGTCGGGTCAAGGAAAACAGTTATAACATGTCCTAATCCTAACCCATCGGAAACGTGTAGGGAACTCCATAAGTTCTCACAGTCTTACACTTGAACAATGGAGGAATTTCAGCCATTTCAGCCAGAACAACCATGATGTTCTTTGACCCTTTTTGATCGGTGAAGCCCGTTGAGAAGAACACAAAAGAGCTGCGTTCCATCTTCTGGATTTGTGACAGCGGGAGAATCTGAAGATCTACCAGCAGCTTCAAAGGGATCACCAATGGAAGCCCCTACATTACTAAGGGACCTCCATTGGAAACCCCTTGAAGGTTGAGGTATTTTTGTACTGATTTGTATTCATTCATTTCATTACATATTGAGCGGTTGGTGAGGCGATACTCATGATACAAAAAGTGAGGATCAGCAAGTTGGTTTGCTCGGGTCCTTAGCTGACTTTTGTCCCGTTCGAGGTTCTATCTTGACTATGTTTGCTGATCGGTGAAAGAATCAGCTGTTGCCAGCACTATACAAGGTTATGCTGACAAAAACGCATCTGTGGTTCCCACCAGAAACTCACCAACTCTGAACTCAATCCACCGACCTGCCCCTTCTTCCACGGCCACTCCTCTTCTTCCAATCGATGGTGAAGCCAGCTGGCATGAGTCGGTGTGACACCATGTCAGGTACGCAGGCGTGAGGTGTTCGCTGTGTTACATGCAGGGCTTGTTAAAGCTTTGAGCCTATGATTGATCAAATGACTCTGAACAAAGCTAAGCAAACCCCTAAAACCAATTAGTAGAATACTCATGAATTAAGCTAAATGTTCTTGCCCCTGAACCTAGATATCCCAAATCTAGTCTTTAAACAAAAGTCTTGAAACAAACTCCTGTCCTTTAGCTTTAGTTAGGTTTGTGCCTTTCAATTCTTTGTTACTTATTACTGGTTCCTTCTTTGGATCCTTTCTTGCATCCTGCCTCTTAATTTTGTCACTTGGACTCACCAAACCCCAAAACCTTCTGATCAAAATTATGTATAAACTCCTTATTCCAAACCCACCAACAATTGAGCAAAATTAGTCTGCAAAGGGTACCCCCGTTGAAGCCACCATACCCTTTAAAGTATACCCTATAAATACAGCTAAAGATTCTTGCTGGCAGAACAAATATCCTTATCCACAATATTCTATGAATCCTGCTGAGGTGATGGAATGGGTCCTGAATGAGTCCTGCTGAGGATTCCTGCTCAGATGATGGATTCCTTTCTTCTAATATGGATTCCTTTCTGTAGATTCCTTTCTTCTATAGTAAGGCCAATACTACCAATACTAAAACACTGGTTAAGACTATTTGAGGTCATGAGGGAGGGCGCCCTATTTATTAATCAGAGGTGGACAATACCCACCAGGGCCCCTGCAAATGTGCATCTCACCTCCTCCGGGGACTGACCATATTTCTTCCAAAGAGAACATGGGACGCTAGAATGACCCTTGCGTCACAAGTGAGTCACAAGTAATCAGACCGCGTTTCAAGTGTTTCCCGGGAATGGCGGACCTCGATCGCTGTCGTACATCTCGCGATCAAAGAGAGAGCTGGTGGGCATATATCGAAAGGCCACGCCTGAATCGGGCGATCCACATCATCCCAGCCGGCTCCCCTGGCTGATTTGATCTACCTGGACCCGATGCCAGTGAGTATACCTGAGACATGACGCGAACAAAGAAGGTACGACTCTTAAATACCAATTGTTCGAGTATAGTAGATATGTCTGTGGGTCAAAACCCGGGCGCTGAACATGAAGCGATTTCTCTATCAAGAAAATCAACCTACCATGCTTTGGTGAGGAAGGTTGAGTTCCTCACAGCCTTTTCTCCAATCAAGTGGGATTTTCCGTGCTTTGGACGGCCACTGGACGGCCACCCTGCTCCAAACATCGACCCCGAGGTTCCCTCAAATCGGTCTCGACCCAAGGAGTGGAGGGACCGGCCTGAGATCCAACTCCGGCGCAGGGGTGGTCTCTTTTTTCAGACACGGTCTCGAATACCTACATAAGACTGACAGTCCCAGGTCCTTTCTGCGTCTCCAAGGCTCAAAGGCTCATTTAAGGTCAAAGGCATCAAATCTCTCAGGCGAGGGACCCTGGACCTTCCGCTCGATCTTTTTGAGGATTACATGGGACTACCGGATTGTGATTCAAAACACTGCCTTGAGGTCCTCGGTAGGTTTCAATAGGAGCCAAACCCAAACCCAGGACGCAAATTCAGCGAGCAAGTAAATGTAAGGATTGCAGTGGGGTCTTACTGGTACAATTTTGGTACAATAGGGTAAACATAAAATGCTTCATACAAGTCCCAAAACCCAGTAAAGCCACTGGTCTTTTACAACCTTTTACCACCTTGAGTAGTGTTTTTGTATAACCAACTCCAGTAAAATGAGGTCTGACCGTGACCTGTAGGCTACATATGTCTATTTAAAACATTTTAAATACACAAGAGTTTCGGGCCTGACACCCTCGATCAGAAAAGAACAACCCTGCAAGTCAAAGACTACAAAAAGAATGGTCTTTATGGGATCTGAAAGGAAATTTCCTTAATTCACTCAGGGAAAGTATAGTCTTTGGACTTCCAGGGACAACACAATGAAAATAGCACATCACATCCAGCAACTGTCGCTCACCTCCAGGCAAAATCCTGCATCATCTCTCCATTGTGTCGTTTTTGCGCCAGTTAACCGTGTGTGATCCGAGTTGTGTGAGGTCTTTTTTAAGAAGAAGCTCTTCACAGAAACTGTTCAGCCTCCCATGGTGAACAAGTCTATTTTCAAGATCTGGCGTTTCTGAATGTGTTTTCTGGGGTTTCTTCGGACCACCACCTGCCACGGATCCAAAAGAACTCTACGAGAAAGCGTCTCGAACGCGAAGTCTTCGCATCGAACAAAAAGGGCCTGCACGTCGCCGACCAGAGCCATTGGCATTGGAGCCGTGAACCAAGTAGACGTCATGCATGGACATCTGCCCTGCGTGTTCGGCGGGTTTCATCTGGCAAAGTGAGGGGGTGCCACTTGAGCTAGGTCGTGAATGCTATAGATGGTAGGATTATGTAGGGATTGAAAATTCTCTTAGACCATGTATTGTGGGTGTCCTGGCCACTGATCAACGTGAAGCTGATGGATAGATGTTAGGCTGACTGCACCTAAACTATCCAATGCCCCAATCCAAAGCACAGGCGGCCAAGAAGTCATGCCCACAAAAGGTGTGTCTGCAACATAAACATCCCAATGAAAACCCTTGGACATTCCAAAGGGCTGACCTTTTTTGCCCTTTAGGAAACGAGACATCTTTGAGTCACAACATACAGTCCATGCTGCCGGTCCATGCTGCCTATGAAGAGATCACAGAGATCACGTCGAGTGACCCATGCTGGAGTCTCCGGTACATGGGCCAATCCCAACACATTCGGATCCCCCCCACACAAGCGGAGCCGTGGTAAGAATCGCCCTCGGACACGAGCTGTGTTCGGATCGCCCGCGCGGTTTGGGGCGCCCCAAAAGGGCTCAAGCACCACATCAACATCAAAAACGCGAGCAGAATACAAAGGAACCTGACACGCTAACACAAGAAGATCTCTATTATGCATCCCGCGAGAGCGCTTCGCAGCTTTTTGCCACACCCGTCCTTTCCATTTAATGCCTTGTGGTATGGGTCATGATATGTTATGATAGACCGTGAACAGCTCTGAATCCGAATCTTCCTACCTGTCCAGCAGCCTCATTGGGTCATCTATATCGGGATTTCCCTCTTACTGTAAGTCATCTTTCAGTGTCCCTTCTGTTTGGCCTGTGCCTCTTGTCTCAACCGGTGGCACCTGCGTCCAACTCCACATCCACCGGAGCCTCCAGGCGACCTCACAACCGCGGCGTTTACAGCCGGCCCAAGCACACCGCGCCTGCCTGCGCCCGCCCGCACCAGGCCAGGTTGGGGTTTCTTCTTTCGGTGCGAAACAAAAACACAAAAAAAAATGGTAGTACATGAGGGGGTATGACATGGGAAGGAGGATATGACCATGTATGACGAACCACACGGGACCTCGTCACCTATATATCCGTCTTGCCACACAGGGGTGAAAAGCAGCCCGCGTCCGCCCCAGAAGAGCGGTAACCCGGACCTCAAATCATCCACAGAGCCGTGGATGAAAGCTGCCCGACGGCCCCAACAGACCGAGTAGATGGGGAAATCCGAGAGTGGATGGCACAGACCCGAGTGGACAGGAGGGTGGTTTATATGGACCCCTATCTGTCGGATAGACATCTTTGGGTGCCAGTGCCATGGAACCTCTGAAACCACTGTGACCCTTCCAAGTCAGCACTGAAACCACATTCTGCCCATTTCGCCTATCCCGATGTTGTTTTTCAGCCAGGTCAAAGGCAGCAGGATCTTGTTCTCACAAAACTGAGAACAGGACTTGAACCTGAATGTCTTCGAACCAAATACCCTCTCTTCAACAATCATGGAAATGATTGGACATGGACTATCTGAACTATTCTGAACTTTCAAAAATGTGTCAGGAGATCGAATAAGATCCCCCCAAATGGACCCCAAACATACCAAAAAGGATCCCTTCACCGTACGCGCAGCGAACTCGCGTCGCGTCGCTTCTCGGTTCCCCAAGTCCGTGGCACGTCGAAGGACGGCGCTTCCCCGTCGAAGGACGTGCCGCCCGTGTTCGGTCGGTCGGTTCGATGCCCAGCCACTCAACTCGTCGGCCGTCAAACGTTGGCTCAAGACCATCCTCCCCTCACCGAGTCCGGCGCGAGCCGGGGGGAACCGCGAAACGACCGGGTGACGACACCGCGGCACCGGTGTCACTTAATACGGTGTCAAAACACATAGAACCACTTTTTTCATTTCAGATCTGTGGGGTTTCCAAGAGGTGGGTCAGATCTTGGAATTTCTGGGTTGGAAACGGCAGGTGGATGCAACTTCCTGTGGATGAAGACAACGGGATTCCTCAAGGTGCATTCGGGAACTATGCCTTAACAAAAATCCGGGCCCTCCAATGGGCATGCTTTGGAGGGTCCGGAACCCTGTGAAGTTGTTGGGTCCTGGGTCCGAACCCCGCCCCCGTGGTCCAAGTCGCGCCAGGGTTTTGACTCTCCGCGTCAGGAAAACGCAGTGGAACACCTCCTGTTTGATCCTGTTTGGTATTTGGTTTCATGGTCATCCGAAATCAGGGCCGTTTTCCATCCACTTCCATGATGATTTCAGGGAGTGTAAGTCATGTGTTCCATTGTTTTCAATGTTCCATGGTTTTCTAGCCATGTTGAAAGATGTTGAAAGGGTGGGCTTTAGTGCCCTTGTAGCCAACAAGAAGCAGATTCTTCTTTGTCAGACCACTCAGCTTCAAACACCTCATGACTCTGAGTTGTGCAGCTCGCTCGACCGTTCCAGAAGCTGCCGCTGTGGCTCCCTATGCCAAAGCAGCTGATGGATGGAATTCCACCAAGGCCCCTCCCCCCCGGTGCAGCATTTCGATCGCTCCTCGCAAGGCTCATGCTTCAGGTTCCCATGCGTGTGCGAGCGCGGCAGCACGTTCAGGCAGCCGTTGCCCTTGTCAGACCTGCAGGAGCTGTTTTGCAGCATTTTGCAGACATGTCAAAGCGCACCAAGACACTTAAGAAGGTTCCTGACCAATTCTGTGCCACCCCCCAAAACTGGCTTTCACTGAATGCTGGGAGCTAGATAAGCAATGAGAGGAGGCTCCTTACCTTACAATTGTAATTCTGTCCTGCTGCGCTCAGATTCGCTCGCAACTCTGCCGGCGCTCTTCCCAACCAGCGGCTTCCGTGCCGGGAGCAGCTCAGTCTGACCAGCGGCTTAGACCGTCGGACCATTCACCCAGTGAACATCACCATCACCAACGACACCAACACCATCCCAGGCCATCCAGTTATAGCTGTTAACCAGTGGTTCCTTATATAGTGGTAACTGGGATGCACTGGGCATCAACACCCACCACCATCACCCGATCCGCGCTGGTCGTCGGCCTGTCTAGCGCCACCCAAACGGTGACCGTGGCCAACGGGCGGATGGGCCAGTACTCACCGTCCTGGACAGGTTGGACGCTTCGGATGCTTCAGATGCAGAGTGCCACAGTCTGAGTGCCAGCTGACCATCCGAAAAATGCGGATGGAAGGCCGTCGACAAACAGGTGGTGGGGTGACCAGATCTCACTTCTGGAGGTTCATGAATGTTTAGTGTGTTCATGAATGTTCTACTCAACATCTACCCTAACCTAGAAGTCCAAATACTAGTAACAGTATTTTGACCCACTGACTGAAGTAAAGGAAGCTCTTTTCCGGGTTTAGAAACGCCATTCAATATTCTTTGTATGTAGTCTTTGAGTCGCAGGGTCTACTCAACATCTTCTCAAACTTTTGAGCCATCCCAACACTCCGACCCGCTGTTCACTGAACGCAAACGCTCGCCAGACCAGGGTGAAAAGACAGCACCAGGGGAACCATACGCAAACATAAGGCAGAAACAAACTTAATAGATATACCTAGAACCCAAACATAGAATCTGGGTTGATAGGAAAAGACCTTGTTTGGGCTCCAAAACAGGGGTCAATCAGGTTCTATATGTATAATATATAGTTGGGTATTATATCCCATTACCAGGGCCCAATCGATGACGATGGTCAGTCAAGACTGTACCGACTGTATGATGCTAACAATATATATATATATATAGACCGACCCCATACCTATGAGCAAACGGTGCATCCTCTCCAGAAAAAATCAATAAGAAACAACATGTCTAAAAGGGATGTATTGGAACACAAATCGAGAAACACCCTACTAAGGAGTTTCTCCCCCCCCAGCAAAACATCGTATCCAATTCCATGCAGGGCCTAACCGGCCTAAACCGTGTGAACTGTCTGCCTTTGTGATTGAATCTCGACCTATCCAACCATGACTGAACTTCGGGGAAGACCGTGAAGACCAATCTGAACTACAAGACCAGAACTCGGTGTCACAGCTGTTTCAACCCCAACGGCCTGGTGCATGGGCACTTCCATGCCATCTTTGCCTTCACATCAAGCACCAAGCGCAGGACATATAAACACCAAATGCATGGAGAGTGCCAGCGTGCAACGACTGAGATCGTATTCGGCTGGTTGGATGATTGTTGGATCCTAAGATTCTTTTTTGCTGAGGACGCCGTAGAGTTCCAAGTTCCGAGCGCATCCTTTTCAAGCGGAACATCACCATTTACGGTCGATTGCACTTCTACCATTGGGGCCCATTGGGGCTGATTAAAAAAAACAAAAAAACGACGTGAACAACTATGTAGGATGTGTGTCGAGACTGAATCCCCCGAACTGGAAACTGAAAGTGTCGTCTTGGCGATGACGTTCGGACCTGTGGCATGATGGTGGCGATGGGCCGAATGAAACCACCCAGCTCACCATTGGGTGAAACCTCTGCAATTCCCAGCACCCACACGCAGTATCAAACATGTTCCTGTCAGATGAGTGATATGTGATTGAAACGTTGCATAATAAGTGATGCAACGTCTATACCTCTTCCTGCAACATTCTTCAAATGCATGCGCTGCCCCACCACGCAAGTCGGCCCCATCCTTCGAAACAACCCATATCGCCCAACTCCCATTCCACTCGGTTTCATACTGTGTCACATATACTATATACATAAAATGTCTTAGAGTCTTCTTCGCTCCGGTTTTGGGGGAGACCTCCCCTCCACCCACACCGCACCGCCATGGAAAACAAAAAAAAAACCTCCCGCTAACCCACCGACCAACTTCACCCTGCGACGGAACCGCTGTTGCACCCACTTCCCAACCGGCCTGGCTTGCAGAAGATCTGACAGCCCCAGAGCGCAAAGTCGGAGCCCAACACTTGACCCACCGCCTGCGTCGCCCGCGCGAGACGCGAGAGGCGCGAGACGCGAGGGCGAACGCGAGGCGAATGCAAGGGTCTGGGTCGGTTTGAGGATGCTGAAGGTGTTCTGCGCCGGGGGGGATGGAGGGGTTTTCCCTTTGGGATGGGATGGAGCAAACAGGAGGACGAAAGCAGCGTACATCGTGGGGCATAGAAAGGGGTTATCATTGGGTGGTTTTCGCTTGGAAGGGTATAGTTTGGAGGCTTTGAGAAGCTAGGGGAAATATGGAGTAGGTTTTTGAAATGACTGTTGACGATGCTCAAGGAAACAGGATGAAACAGGTTTCAAGACATCAATCTATAGGGCGTCGGTCTTCCATAGGTTTTCCAGCATTCTTGTTGCCCATCATCAATCGAGACCAGGATGAACATATACATGCAGTAATTGCCCTTGGATTGAATACGCATTCATGCAGAACGTCCAATTGGAGGGGGGGCCATAACAAACGAGCAGCGAAGTTCGAAGATAGAACGGTGTTTCTGCAAGAGTGTCCATCTTTCATGAGGGAGACACCCGAAGTCCCCTGGAAGAAGGACTATAGACAGTCTAACCCTTGGTTGAGAGTCTCCCTATTATACCAATCAAACTCATGTAGCTACTCAAGGCTTTGAGGTTGCACTGGATGGTCCAATGACCAAAACCGAGTCTTTGAGAGCCAAGGACGTTCAAACGGCGGCAAGACCAAGTGACAGTAAACGTTACACAGGGATGACGTGACGTTGAACGCTTAAGTTTAAGGGATGACGTTGTTGAAGGTTTAAGGTTGATGAAGGATGTGGACATTCGGTTCAGCAAATGCATATCCCACGATTCGACTGGGTGTGATGCATCCTGTTGGGTGTTGGCTCTTTCCTTGGCGATTCACTGACGCCATGATACGCCATGTCTCTCTCTCTCTCTCTCCAGGTGTTGCATCATTCTTCCTCACCACCCCAGCACCGAGCAGATCAAAAGGGCCTCCAGGATCATCGGCTCTTGAGCCAGCGCCAAGAAGTCATAGTTGCCTTAGGATTTCGTGCAAGCTTCGGAAGTTCAAAGAAACAATGAACAAATGCAGCATAGATGCCTAGAACACGGACCACCAACCAACCAATATGATTTTGTCCTATCAAAACAGAGGTCAAACAGGTTCCAACAATAATATATGGAACATTAATATAGAAACGGAAAAGCATAAATTCCCACACACCAATTAATTACTTCTGGTACCTGCAATCAGCCTCAAACACCTGGTACCTACGAGGTGACAAGACTTCCGTGACAATCACCAAAGAGAAGTCGCGTGTGACCCAAAATCCATATATAAACAACAAACACGACATCCGCCAATGGCGCCAGGTTGCCCACCACGCCTTCCTTGGTCTTGGTCTCCACATGAGCACTCACCTCATCGAACCAGCCAACCACGACGTGACCGTTCTTCCGCAGCCGCCAAACGCCGTTCTGAACCGCGCCGTTCTGAACGGCGCCTTCTTAGGAGGTCGAACCTCACAGAACCGATCGTGCTTATCTTTGGTTTCCCTTCCATCTCTAAGAAAACTGGTGATGTTCTTGTTGTACCGACTCCAAAGGACGGACTTATGGCGGACCTCCCGTCCCGTCTGCTGTTGAAGAGGATGTCTGTGCTTGTTGTGCATTGAATCACCCAAACACTCCCGATATAATATCCTGGTCCAGGTTGCTTGACAAGCTCTGCATGTTGAGAGCTCACAGACTCATATGATTGCATCCTTTAGTGTTGAATCCCCTCCTGTTACCTTCACAATGAGGGATCAACAGATCAACCACTCCCTGGAATCATCATAGAATACACTCCCTGGCACCACGGACTGGTCCAACCGGAAAACGATGATGATTGTGAAAGGGGCCATGCCATGCCATGCAGAAATGACCCAGAAGGCAGGTTCCTGAAACCCAACAACTTCAAGCAAATGACCACCTGATACATCCTGATACCACCTGCGGTGAATTTTTGGGCCAACCCATGTGAACTCCTCAATGTTGGAGACCTGTAGAGTGGGGCCCAGGCGTGCTGGACTTCCATGGAACTTGGGGAACCACCCCAGTTGTTGCCTTAACTTTGCCTCAATCCAAGACAATCAAAACGTCCGGCACAAATGCAAATCCATCATTTTACTCCGATCGAATCGTTAAAAGGGGTCCGAAGTTTCAAACCTATTGGGGATCATCCCAAGAAAAATACACACACACACGTTCTTCATATGTCTGTTTTCTTGGACGCCTCCAGCGTCGAGTCTAGCCCTTCACCACCGGACACCAGGTCGCTGCCGCACCGAGAGGCCAACAATTCCGGGCGCACCGTGGGATTCTCCGCGATGACCCGGTCCTCGGGGAGGGGTCCGCGATGACGCTCATGGCCGGGCCAAACGATTTGAGCACTTTTCTGGTACTTCGCGAACGCAAGTTGCCCAGGATTTTCGCGGGTCATTTGGAAGTTGAACCCAAGGCAGAAGTAGATTTGGAGAATGGACCGTTCTGTCAGCATTGTACTTTTTTACGATTGGTGAAGGTGTCAGAACATCCCTAGAACATCCAGAAAAAAGGAACGTGATGGACCGTGCTGGTCTAATTTGTATCCCCCTGTGAGTTAGCCAGGATAGGTTGTGCTAAGCATTCTGTATAGTTATAACACAACAAATTGACCTCAAGAGGCCTACAGAATCACAAGGGTGTAAAAACCGAGTCTCTACAAAATGCCACACACAAGGGCACTTGGGGACAGGGACACACTCTACAAAATGGGGAGGTTAGTCAGTCCATGATACATTCTGCAGAGGTGCGAATTTCTGCAAGCCAGGTAGAGCGCAAAGGGGCAAAAAAAAGGCAACACAGAAAAATCAAAGACAACCACTACAAAATGGCAAACTGTGCAAACTAGCAGAACCAGCACTACAAAATGTCAACTTCAGCACTAGCCATATAACATTCTTGGCAAATTTACCATGTTTGAGCCCGGTCTTGTGCGCAACAATCCTGCATCCCCCTGTCAGATCCTCCTTTGGGAATGACAATCTTTCTCTACAGAATCACAAGTCTGCAAATTCAGTTTTTTCCTCTACAAAATGCTAACCCTCAAAATGCAGAAAAAAATCCTATACAAAATGCATTATTCCAGTGGTCAACCTGTCCCATACTGAAAACACGCAGGAGGATTAACATGTCATGATGTTTCCATGTTTTTCCCATAGACAGGGGTCCCAACTTACTGAACAATGTAAAAACATCTTATACCTGGCCCTGCCTGGACTGTTTTGCATTGTCCAAATCAACGCATCATAAGAAATACTGGACCTGGATTTCTAGTGGATAGTGCGACCGCACAAGGCAAAACCTGAGCTAGCGGCTAGCGCCTTCTGTTGCAGGTTTTTGAGGCCAGGCCCCGAGATACTTAAACCACCACCAAAGGGGGGATTTGACCCAATGGCTGAGGTATTTATTTTTTTCTACTATATAACTGTTAGAATCAACATGAACACAGCTGTACCAAGGTCCTCAAACAGCTTGGAGAGGAAACAAATCTTAGACTCACAACAGTAAGTAGAATTTGGGACACAAGAGCAAAAGTAGACAAGTCGCCATTTAGTGACGTTGGGCCTGACCCGCATGCGCGCTTCGAGAGGAAAACAAAGGCAACCATTGAAACCGGTTCCGAATGCGAGCTCCCTCCCTCGATCCAATCCGGCCAAACTATGACTCCAACGCTCTCCCAACATTCAAACTTCCCAGCTGATCAACAAAACCTCACCCTTTGCCCGGGTCCCAACCTGGCACCACGCGAGATTTCCGCTGAACATGCGCGAAAATGCGCCGTCGGACATGCTTTCCCAGGAGCCAAAGTCTTCTGGTACCGCTCCAACTTCTCTTTGGACAAGGAGACCTCAGCAAACCCGACTCCAACAAGGCCGCAGCAAAAACATGCAAAAACAGCCCACTGGACACAGCTTGGAGATTGGACCCCCCTGGAGGCCAATAGAATGACCTCGATTCGGAACATAGATTAATAAAAAATCGTGTTTTTTTTCACTCACGGGCTGCATATTAAGCGCCATTGGACCAGTCCCTGTGAAATGTATCTAGGATCATGAAGAAAACCCAATACAGTTTGCTGACCCCTCGGCAATTGGTTGGCGCATTGAGGCAGTTGTATCCCACCCTTCAGCAGCTTTCCTATATCTAACAATGATGTGCATTAGTAGACCCCTAGCCAATAGGTTTTAGACGTTGATTTACATAACACCTGGACACCAATTAGAACTGATACCCGCTTTTGGGAGTATGTTAAGGGTGTGAGGGGTCATTGGGAGGTCTCTCTACTGTATACTATTAAATCATTAAATCTTGGCTTTGCTTGCCCAGAAAGCCGGGAACGAATCACAACATGTCCCCCATGCCAGGGTGTTCATCCCGAACATACGAATCACCTTACACAAGCAAAACCAGGAAATCCACGCCCATTTGGAGGAACACAGGTCCCTCCCTGTCCCAGCGCCTTGGGCACCAGCCATCCTTCGCGATGATAACGTTCCACCTGACATGATTGCTCGGCAGTTGAAGAGAGAGCGCTGTCTCTGTGGTTTGATGGCTGGAGATGGTTGGAGCAGCAAGGCTGCATGTCTGCATGGATTGTCGATGTATGCAATTATTGGTAATTACACTGTACCAATAAATAAATATAGATATAATATACTATATACATTGACATGTATTTACTAAATAAATATTACTATCCTTTGTCATTTCACCCTAGTATAAATATACCCCTTTCTTGGGTCTTGTGCTAGAACTTCAACTGCTCCTGCCGCCTCCTCCGGCGCCAGCACCAGCGCCGCTTCGTGGTCACGAAGCGCCGATAAAGCCCGCCGCTTCAGCGGCGGTTCCACAGGCAGTTCCATTGCCCGGCAAAAGCAACAGTGTTCGTGGGAATCAACATGTTTGGGTTTGTTTTTGATGTCGGTTTCGCGATGAACTTGAATGTTTGGATTTGGCTGGAACACAGTGGGATGAACTTGAAAGCAAGTGGGGCCACTAATTAAGAGATAATTTGCACAAATGCGGGCCAGTTTGCAGAGCTGCATCAAGTTGCGGGATAGGAAACAAGATGCAACAATCATTACGGTACAAAAGGTGATTCATGCGGAGCAGTCCCTGTAGCATGCTTCAAGACTTTAGAGCTTCCATGAAGCTTCAAGGCCAGCCTGATCCACAAGCTTTGGCGGGCCAGTTGCTATTTTTCTGTCAACAGTGCACCCACAGGCACCGGCAAAGCTGCTACCCACAAAAAACATGTATGTACCTGGAGTCTGAAAGTACCTCAGAACATGGGTACAAGTACCTGTCCCATTTTCTAAGGTATACTTGAAGTGAGGTCCAGGTACCTACATTCACCCTGCAGGTACCCACCTGGAGCCCAAAGTGCTTAGGCCTGTAATGGCCTGTATGTACGGTGAATAGGACATTGTGAAATGTATCGTGGGGTAGCTTGGAAGCGTGAACACCACCCATCTCGCCTTGTTTGTCACAGTCTCAAACCAAACAATTCAGACATCATCAAACTATCCCAGGATATCCCAGGAAACAGGACGTTTCTACGATCCCATTGATAGTAACAACATACACCTGGTTCTTCAAAGTGACCGAACTTGATCTGCTTTAAGGTCACTTAGGGACTAAGACTTAGAGGCCTGGGCTCAAAGCCTGTCAAAGAGTCGCGAACTCCAAAGACTTGTCTATAGGCGTATGTACTCTTCCTACTCCTCCTGTACTCCTCCTATCTTGACCATTCGACTTGACCCAAAGTGCTTTGATGCCTTGAGCGAGGCCAATCCATGGCCTAGGCCGATCAATGGCCTTTTCTGGTGCCACATCAATGGAAAACCTGGATCCAATCTGGAAAACCTGTCATCATAACAGGTACATGTTGCAGGTCTCACTAAAGCATATACAGCATTTTGGGCGTGCGATGGAAATCGATCGAACTATTGGGATGAGATGGGGTACCGGGTATGATTTGCCAGTCATAATGAGCCTGCCTGGCAGGTCCTGGTCATCCTAGGGCTCCAACTACTTCCGTTTCGGATCGCTTTTTGGCGGCGTTTTGGGTTGGTTTTTCTCCCTACCTCTTCTTTTTGGATGTGTGCCAGGAGCCCCAACTCACTATAGAAATAAACATCAACAACAACTCACATGTCGGCATCCCCATGTCCATCCATCCTTGGATCCCTTAACAACACCTCCGCCTGTCCCGTCCGCCACCGTCCATCCTCCGTCCACCCCCCCCAAAAGAACGCACAAACGCGCGTAAATCCGCGCGCGAAAAGCGCTGGGCTCTTGGACGGAACCTCGGCATAGACATCCTGGTGCTTTTTCTCGGTGCTTTCGGCTCGAGAGGCGTTGAAGCGTTCGGATGCTGGAGAGGGAAAGGCCGAGATTGAAACCTGGAGTTGATGAAGGTTTTTTGGGAAGTGCTGGTGGATCTGATCAAACAGGTGTCTCAACTGTAAACATGTCTGACTCATTTAGAGAGATTCAGTAGATGATCAATTGATCTTTAAGGCGCTGCATGTCTCTCAACAGGCCATGTCAGACATGCTTCGAGGATGTCCTCATGTCAGACACTTCCCGTGCTGGCTCGCAAGCGGTGAGGGACCTCCGAACTCATTGGTGTTCCTTTCAACACATCCCTGAAATCGGAAGCGGATGGCACCACCTGCTTGGCATTCGGTCATCTAATGGGGCCATCCACGGAAGTGTAGGCGATGATCAGCAGCTTGATGCCCCAACCTTCATTCCCAGGTCCTCCATGGGCTTGGGGTACGGCGCGCCCGGAGCATTGGGCGGCAAATACTGCGGGCGGATGTAGTTGTTGAGGCGAACGCCTGGTGCTCTGCTGCTCGGGTGATTTGTGATGGGCTTGGGGTGATTCGTGGCGAAGGCAAAAAAGAAGACTCCAAGGTTGGCAGTGACATAACCCAAACACTCCTGCCATATATGCCTACATTGACCCCCCAAACCACCCCTAGGCATGTGGCATACATGGAGTGTCTGGGTAATTGATTTGTTTGCATGTTGTTATCCCAAACACGCCCATGTATTAGATTATCTATAATGATCTAATGCATGGGAACTTGCATGGGAATATATCTACCCACTGACCTGAGAACCACCCCTGGGCTGATCGGAGAGTCATATGCCCGTCCGTGTCTGGGTATGTTTGCTTGGTTGCTCAAGCAGTTGAAAAATGAAACCTGGCGAAAACAAATAGGAGCAGTAACTTGGCACCGAAACTGGAAGTTGGAACATGTTGGAACTGAGCCTCGATACTTCGAACCTTGAAAAACAAAAACAACATAATATATATATATATATATATTCACCAGAAGGGGACTTATCCATAGGGAATATCTAACATCACCTCAAGTAAAACCATAAATATCGGTACTCAGTCTATCAAGGGTTTTCACAATCCACTTCTAAAATCTGGGAACCTTGGGCGACAACAACAATCAGGAGGCATCAGGATAAGTCTTCTTGAAGGGAGCGGTTCTACTATGTTCTACTAAGCTCATACATTCCTGCATGTTCCCCGTGCACAATCTGGTCCAAATTCACCAAACGACAACGTTTGAAGGAGTGTCAACCTGGTTCTTCATGAAATGGTTTCAGGTCAGACCTAGGCCGTTGGCCTGTACCAGGTCGCAAACAGGGACGAACCGAATAAGCTGGAATCCATTGTTTTTCTTGAAGACTTGGTCCATCCCGTCCGAATTGTCCACTGTATCCAGGCAAAGCACGAAGCCGACCGACCAGTGAACATTCGCAGCGCCAACGGGCCGGTTCCGTCCCAGGTGGTCTTTCTTGCATACGACCAGAAACGGAGGGCGTATCTGGGATGCACCGAGATTCTGAACTAAAAACACTCCATGGGAGTGGCATATTTACCTACATTGGGGTGGTTTGGGGGGGTCAATGTAGGCTATATGGCTTACATGGAGTGTTTGGGCTATACAGGACTAGTAGTACTGACTAGCCACAAAAAATGAGAGCCTGTGAAAACCCCCAGTTTGATGAGTGAAAACTAAGTGATGGTCACCCCAGTTCACCTCACAGGCGACGATGTGGAAAGGGCAGGTTGAAGGCAAGTTCACAAGACCTCAAAATATCTGGTTCACAGCCTGTGCCATGATAGACCAAATTCCTCTGGATCAGTCACCATACCCGGCCACGGAATGTTCATGTTCAGGCAAAATCCACCCCTTTTTGGTGAGTGGATCTTGTGAAGGCGCACCCCTCCTTTGGAACGTGTCCCCCCCAAAAGGAAAACCACTCAAGAGCACTGATGACATGAAAGTTGAAAGAATCCGAATCTGAATCAGACTCATATTCTTAGACCCCGACATGGAATTCTGCGGAAGAGAACATCTGACGCACCTCTCGCGCTCTCCAGCCCCCTCAGCCGCCGCACCGTCCACGTTCTTGGAGCGGCGCATCAAACGCATCACCTGGCAGTGAAGGTGCTTTGTGGAGGAACAAGGACGTTTGCCTGAAACGCAGGGGGTTCAGGGTTCTTTTCGATTTGGATTTTACATTGCCAGAATGGAAAATCGGAAAATCATTGCTGAATGCCGCCACTACATCACTGGCTATTATCCCTTCAAACACACCTCTCCATTTACAACGAACAAATTTAACATAATTTTGGCGAATGGTACCCCGCGACTGTAAGACGTCGATGTATGGATCAAACAGTTCCAAAATCAAATAGGTGCTTAGGGAACTCTCTGTAGCTCCTTGCCTCCCTGTTTAAGGGGAATATGGACTCTCCTCACCAACAGCTAGAATCAGCTAGAATAATACATACCCAGGACCCTCCAACAGGTATGGGAAAAGGATGCAATTTTGATCGCCTACTTTGCAAATACAAAGAACTGTAGACCTGACAAGTCTTTGCTCCAAAACTTGACCGAAAAACCCAGCGTAAAAACACAAACAAAAAGGAAATTCGCCACGAACAAAGTGGTGATGTGGGAAGTGCCTGGACTGATTCACCAAGTCGACCTAGACCAAAGGAGTGTAGAAAGTGTACATATACATAGATCCCAATTTATATATAATATGTACATATAACTAATATATATGCATATAATACATATATATATATATATTAGGACCCTATGAAAACCGGTGCTTGTACCGTCAGAGAACCGATTTTGTCGGAGTACCTTTGAGGAGTCCAACATTCCACCTGGGTCCACCAGAGTGGTCCGGCGCCGGTCACGGCCCACGGCCTTATGCTCGGTGAAGACTGGCAGCCCCACACGTGGCCTGCCGTGGGTGAGGACACCAGTTGGTACGGAGCGCTCAGTGCCGAGATGCTTGGAACATGCGAAGAACTGATGGGTTCGAGTTCATCAGCCTTGGGAAAAAAACAAGATGGAGCCCACGAACCCGAATGCAAACACGTTCGAAAAGCTACATATGTCCAAATGACACTCTTGTAGGACACTCTTGTGAGACACTCTTCTGGGACACTCTTGTAGGATACTCTTGTGGGTCACTCTTGTAGGACACTCTTGTGGAACACTCTTACAGGACACTCTTGTGGGACACTCCTGAAAGGCACTCTTGTAGGACACTCTTGTGGGACACTCTTGTAGGACACTCTCGTGGGACACTCTTGTAGGACACTCTTGTCGGGCACTCTTATGGGACACTCTCTTGTGAGACACTCTTGTAGGACACTCTTGTGGGTCACTCTTACACGACACTCTTGTAGGACACTCTTGTCGGGCACTCTTATGGGACACTCTCTTGTGAGACACTCTTGTAGGACACTCTTGTGGGTCACTCTTACACGACACTCTTGTAGGACACTCCTTGTGGGACACTCTTGTAGCAAACTCTTGTGGGATACTCTTGTGGG